TATCATAAGGACTGGAAGAGGAAGTAACACTGAGATTATAGTAGCTGGCAGGTATTTCTATCAATGATAATAATGATAATAGCAACAGTTCAATTATGAAGGGTATAATATGCTTACCTGGGCACTTGACACCTACATCATTGCCATGATAGCAATTGGTGACACCAATACCACTGGCATAGGGACAGTCAGAGAGGCTGGCTTCATTTCCCAAACAGGAAACATAAGCCAGATTGACTGGGCCTTGTCCTGACCCAGAATAAGCTGATTGTGTTGTTATAGGTCCTACAAAATAAATAAAACAATCAGCAATCAGAAGAGAAATAGTTTAAATCTTACGTAGTGTTTTAAAGCCGGCACTTCTACAGGCCACTAATGAGTTCAACCTTGACCATCCAGTATTACAAACACTGCCCCAGTATCCTCCCTGGCACACTTCAACCCTTCCTTCTCTTGAAGATGCACCATCTTGAAGTCTCACAGAACCCTCTACTGAGCATGTCTCTGATTAATGAAAGATAAAGTAAAAATCTATAAAGGCTAATTATCGTACCAGCTTGATTTTGCATCCTACAAGAGACTCCAGCTCTATTGTTGGCATACCAGCTCTCCATCATTGTGTTAGCTGCATATACAGAGTTAGTACAACTCTGTAGTGCAGTCTCTGATCCACTGCATTGGAAGTTATTGTGAGCAATCCGACGATTGCCAGAACCAAACTGTGAACTAGTTAATGCAACTGCCCCTGTATAATGATTAAGTGCCAATGATGATGAATACATTGTAATTTAGAATGATTATTTTTCATAACCTGATTAAATCAGAATCAGTTCAAACTTTCTGTGCAACATAAGTACATGTATATGCATCAGAAAATATTATAGAAATAAAAAAATTCCTCTTTTTTGTTTTTGACAAAATTGGTCTGATTTTTATGTACATCCAGAAAACAGCAATGTTACATGCACATTCTCTTACATGCATCATAAAATCCTCTCTGACGACAAACAACTTGAGCATCATTATAATCCCATCCCATAGAATCAACAGTAGTCCATGTGTTGGTACGACACACCTCCACACGACCATCACTTGAGGATCCACCCATTAGCCTCACATCCCATTCAGTACAGGTAGTGCCAGACTCTGGAATAATATAACAAGAAACTTTATGTGCAGAGAGTATAGCAATATAATAACTAACCAGCACACATGGCTCCAGCAATAGCTGTACAAGTTGGATTGAGGGTTGCATAGTCTGCCACTGTACATGATGTGAGTGAAGTCTCTGATCCAGAGCAGGTCATTCCATCGTACACTAATGGGGCCTGATC